CGAGTTGGTTTTCTACGGGATGGGGACGCTAACCCCATGCCCAACCCTCCTCCTTTACCCGGGCTTGGGACCGGCAGCAACCCTATAAGAGCTACAGGCGCAGTTAGGCCTAAACATACACAAATGAAAAAGCAAGATCCTCAAATACAACACGCAGAACACTAACCCAATCACACTTGATGGAGAAACTCTGGAAGAGTTGGACACGTTCACGTATATGTTCAGATGCAGACGTAAAGGCGAGGATCGGCAAAGCAAGGGTCGCATTCCTACAATTGAAGAACATATGGAACTCAAAACAACTTTCAACCAATATCAAAGTGAGAATCTTCAATACGAACGTCAAGACAGTTCTACTGTACGGAGCTGAAACTTGGAGAACTACTACAAACATAATCAAAATGGTACAAGTATTTATGAACAATTGTCTACGTAAGATACTGAATATCCGTTGACCGAAAACCATCAGCAACAACCTACTGTGAGAGAGAACAAACCAGGTTCCGTCTGAAGAGGGAATCAGGAAAAGACAGTTGGAGTTGATAGGACATACATTACGCAAATCATCAAACTGCATCACGAGGCAAGCCCTAACTTGAAATCCTCAAGGTAAACGTGAAAGTGGAATGCCGAAGAACACACTACGACTGGAATTGGAATCAGACATGAAAAGGGTGAATAGGAAGTGGAAAGAACTGGAAAAGATTGCCCAGGACAAAATTGGATGGAGAGTGGTGGTGGGCAACTTATGCTCCTCCGTGAGTGGCAGCAGGTGTAAGTAAGTCGTTTGGATTTCTGTTCAGCAGTCTTTAACAACATAGGACTTAGTGGAATTGTTCATTCACCCATTTTCACTTTATAAGGACGCAGCGTGCCATAGATACAAACCATCTTTGAAACATTTTGATTCTCGGCTAGGAGAAACACTTTCAAACATAAGATTATTGCTGAAAACATCTTTTATTTATTTATTTATTTATTTGAACACATAAATATTGGTACAAGAGAGCGCCAATATATATGCGCCACACAAAACAGTGGGAATTCGAAGAGAAGTAGAAAGAAGAAAAAAAAACTAAGGAACGCAAAAGAAAAAGAGAGTAATGACGAAGAGGTACAATCAGAAGAAGTCTTTCAGGTAAAGGAGACACAACCACCTTTTATGAAGAAAGTAAAAGAAGGTTACAGCAGGATCGCCACTGGCTTCTATTCAGAGCCATATCTGATAAGGTCTCTAGCCACTGTGTAGCACCATCTCTCGGACCCCAACCAGGGAGTCGTGAAGGACCGACACAAGCCAGTCCTTTGCAGCTTTCTTTCATGCCACGACACCATGTCATGCACTGACCACCTCTCCGCTTCTTCCAACCAGTCCCAGAGTCGGCAAATAATGCACGACCTGGAATTCTCTGGGACGACATTCGGAGAACATGTCCAAGCCACCGAAGTCGGTGTTTCAAGATGGAGAGTCCGCTCTCCCTCTCGAAATACTCTCACACGGCCACGCGTATACAGCCTCTGCCAGAGAAGTCCTACTCATTGCCTTCTCGTGGCGGGGGTGTTGTTTACGAAAATGAGAGGACGGAAAGCGAATGTCCGGCGCTTTAACCGGATTCCAAATCAATGGTGCACATGGGCTCCAGTATCCTGCGGGAGCGAATGGCGTATGAACCAATCGTTGGTCACCGGCTACCATGGGACTGCATCTCCTTACGATGCTCCACTGCCTTGTGGGTTAGACCTTTAGGTCAAAGGCTCGGGGGGTGGCCCCCTAAGAAAACCACCTGTTTCGGTTTGGGCACCCGGGCAGTATCACAGCCCACACACAAACGATGAACTCTATGTCTTTGGCAACTACTTTTATCGCTGAAAACATCTAGAAATCTTAGTTTATTCAGCATTTTTCTTTGAGAGAATTGTGTCGTTTGATAAACTAATACTTTTGACACTATATTGATCAGGTTATAGCAATAAGATTTTGTCCAGTTTCATAAACCAGAACGATTAGCTATTTAGGATCTCATAATTTGGGGAAAGACGTAGAATGAATGCACCTGCGCCATTGCATATGATTTTGAGCAGTCATTCAAAGCCTCTAGCCATTGGTAACAATAATCACACAGACCCCAACTATGTAGTTTACACCCATTAACATAGCCCAGCCTAGCTGTAAATGCCTTCGTGGACTGATGCAATGTTTCGGCTTGGTCGTTCCAAGCTCTTCCAAACTACTTCTGATACTACACCACAACATCGCCTCTCAAGGTTGGCGGGAGTTGAGCTTTCGTAACACATGTCTCAAACACCTCAGTTAATGAGGATTTACTATTTCATCAATCGATTCACCATTCTTACCTAATACCCTATTACTTACCCAGACATTTCTTATTCCATGGTCCCAAAATACGCAGGGAACGCTTCAAAGACACCTATGATCGAATACCAATAACCTATGAATATTCTCTATTCTTGATGTTCATGCTTCACACCCGCACAGTAGAACGAAGCGAACTGCTGCACAGTAAACTTGCCCTTTATTTGGAAGACGGATGTCTCACCTACGCGACTTGTAATACAAGCTGACGAAAAACAATCAAATTTTCTGAATTCGTCCCCTGTGATTATCATTAGAGAATTTTAGACTGGGACGATCAGCGATCGAGATCAGTTGGATAGGATTGCGTCCAGTTGCCAGATTCTAACTAAGATTTCATGTAATCTGACTTTTGACACCGGACCACCATTTTCAGGTTGCTTGAAGATAATGGATAACTGAAGCGTGACTTTAGGTCAGTTGAACTGTTCCCTAAAGTGTACTGCTCATTGATCTGATCTCCTGGATTGTGAGTAAATAATAGTCCCGTCTTTCTCCCTGATAGTTTCACTAACTGCCTCATTTTTAATACCCTTTTCCTCGACAAGTCTAGACAGTTGTCTGCTGAGGAGCATACTTTATTTTTCGGTGGTTACTACCCTTCGTTCAACACGTCCGATTCACTTAAATTACGTTTGAATATTTGATGTTAAAGTTCTCAACGTCACTCAACAACATTCATTGAATGATATGCTATATTTGTCGTTAATCTAATATATTTATTGACGGTTTCCCAAGGCGTCATGCCACGCAGGTACAATATTGCTCATATGATTCGCTTAAATAGATTTTTGCTTTTAGCTTGTTGCTCAGCTATCCTACGCACTAATCATCCTTAATACAATACTTCGACGCCTAACCAAAGCTCGTGAAGAGCAGACCAGAGAAAACCAGACTGGTTTCCGACCTGGACTTGGGTATATAGACGTCAGGTTCTAGAACACAGACACACATTCAGACGCCCCACAATCGTAGTATTTCTCGACCTTAAGGCGGCATTCGACTCTGATCATGAGGTTCTATGGCAGTGCTTGTCACTGAAAGGAGTACATTTACCTTATAAAAGCTCTCTCTACTCGAACACAACTGGTAGAGTGAGAGCTTATGGCGAACTGCCATCAGAATTGATTACCTCAAGTGGTGTTAGTCAGTGTTGTCCACTCTCTCCATTCTTGTTCAACTTCGCCATCGACATGCTTTTAGAGATGAAACTTTCCTCATCTAGATTTCCAGGGGTTGAACTTCTACCGGGAGGTTCACTTGTTGACTTAGAATATGCTGATGACATAGTTCTATTTGGTGAAGACGCTGACAAAATACAGAGTCTTCTGCCCACTATAAGCAACAATGCAAGCATGTTCGGGATGTGATTCTCCCTCTCGAAATGCAAAATGTTGCTTCAGGATTGGGTTGCATTGACACCCGAACTAATGATAGGGAGTGAAGTAGTTGAGTGTGTCGATCGCTTCGCTTATATTGGAAGTCTCATCAGCCCTTGTGGTCTGGTGTGTGACGAAATCTCAGCACGGATACAGAAGGCTCGACTAGCTTTTGCCAACTTGCGTCGTTTATGGCGTAGGCGAGATATCCGTCTATCAACCAAAGACGTGTTTACTGCACAGCAGTTCGTTCCTTCCTACTTCATGGCAGTGGAACATGGCCGGTAATAGTAGAGGATATTCGTAGGTTACTAGTATTTGATCATAGGTGTCTTCGAAATATTGCTCGTATATCCTGGGACCATCGAGTAAGTAATGCAGTTGTTAGGAAACGGGTACTAGGTAAGGATGGCAAATCAATTGATGAATTAGTGAAATTTCATCAGTTGAGATGGCTGGGACATGTGTTGCGTATGCCCAACCACCGACTGCCTCGATGTGCGATGTTTTGTTGTATAGGAGTAGATTTGAAGAAAACTAGGGGCGGCCAGACCAAAACATGGCAGAAGTCCATGAAGTCACTGACAAGTGGACTGAGTCATGTTGGTAGGTGTAGACTACCTGGTTGGGGACCGCGAGATGATAGCAACCGATGGTTAGAGACCCTGAATGACATGGCTCAAAATCGTTTGCAGTGGTGAGTGCAGGTGCATTCACTCTTTGTGTTCTCCCAAATTCTAATCTTCTGGATTCTTCACGTCCTTTTTTTTCTTTCCAGATTGATTACACTGGATTATATTCTTTGAATAACATCTTCAAAACCTAGTCTTTTCGATCACTGCTTATACTTTTACTATGTCTACGACTATGGGAATTGAATCGACAATTGTATCTCTATGCTAATGTCGTATGGCAGCTCGAACTGATGTACGAACGTACGAAGTTCTACGTTGTGACTGACTGAACCTGTACTGGTTATCTGAGAATCTATTTTTTAATCCCCGTAATAATGTACAGATTGGCTGTGTATAGAAAGATCATGTAAATAAGTGCTCACAGTATGAGTTCTAATGATGTCTTTTATCATTACTTGACCGATATTTCAACGGGTAATCGACTTTTTCCGAGATCACTGAACAACTTTGAAGTAAGTTCATTTAAATGCTAAACAGATATTCTACTCCTACTGCAGAATACACTGAAATCCCGATGACCAATTAATCAAATATTGTATTCTTACTTTTTAGGAGCATGTCACATGCAGCTGTTTCCATCATAACTCGTGAAGGTGCTCAAGGGTTTTTCCGTGGGCTTGTACCATCTCTTCTTCTTATAGCACCACAAACAGGGATTCAATTTGCCATTTATCATTCATTAAACCAAATGATTAATCAAGGAAAGTATTATTTGCATCCCAATCTCATTGATAAGTCACCACAATTCCATAGCGGTAACCGTTCAGTTGGTATGTTTTGTTAACTAATGAAATCTGTTATTTTTCCGTCCATTGATTTGGCTCAAGTATCCATATTTCAAAACATAATTCATTTTCATTAATCCGGTATTATCATTACCCCTTACACTGAAAGAACCCACTGAATGAGTTAATTTAATTTAATTTTTTTTCCCAGAACCAGACCTTTGTGGAATAGGATTTATTAAATATATCCACACTATCAATCAGTTATCCGCATAGAGCATTATACAAATGTGTCAGTCCAGGTTTTCACAACTCACAACAACGCAAGGCGAAAGGAAAATATCAACATGAGATGAGTCGAAATGAAATCAACCACTGTAAGAAGAACTAAACGTGAGAAATATTATCCATAAAGAACAAATCCGAGACCCGTATTCAAGACTGGTGAAGTACTACAAATTCGCTCTCCATCTATCGCTTCGAAAGGCTTGTTTTACGTGCATTTGTTCGGGAACCATGTGGCATTTTCGTCTGGTGTTGCCGGCGTTGGTGTTGCACTAAGCGCTAGAGCTGAGGCAGCACTAATCGGTTGGATCCCGATTAACAGTCCGTTATGTGCTGTTAGATTATAAAGTTCCATCAAAGTGAGAATAAATCGGCGTGAGAAACGATGTCTTTTCGTCCTCTCCGCCTATGCCCCGACAGATTGCAGCCCGGATGCAATCAAGGATGAATTCTACCACCAGTTATCTGTTCTTCTCCAGAAAGTGTATTCGACAGATATTGTAGTACTTACCGGAGACTTGAATGCTCAGGTCAGGCGTCTAGGCGCAGAAGAGAGTCGTTTAGGTGGCCGATGGGGACTTGTTGGTCGCAGGACAGATACGTCGGTGACCGTCTACCGCAACTGTGCACAGACCACAACCTGTTTCTGGCTAGCACTAACTTCCGGCACAGTCATCGCCGATGTGCCACCTGACGTCCTCCCTCTGCATCTCAATCCTGGACACAGATTGATCACATCGCGATCAGCTACTGCTGGCGTGGTTGTTTACAAGACTGCCACTTCTTTTGGAGTACCTATCTGGACTCTGACCATGCCTTGGTCTGCGCCAATCTTACCTTACTTTTCAGTGGCCAACGGAGTGACTGCCACCAACGAGTTGATGTTAGCAAGCTGGTTGCAACTTCTGTTGTTAGTAAGTACCGAACCGAGCTAGCTTCTAGGCTAGTCACCATTCCACCGAAAAGGATAGATGAGCATTGGTTGCAGTCAGTTGTGGGTTCGCGAAACGTCCCGCTTATAAGCACTGGGTTTCTTTTGGCTTCCGTCATACTTCGTAGGTTGTTCAAAACCCGAGAAAGACTGACTCGCGAGGAGCAGGCTGGGTTTCGTTCCGGTCGAGGATGCATTGATCATATCTTCACCCTCCCCCAAATGTTAGAACACCGCCATACTTTTCAAAGGCCAACAATCGTAGTGTTTCTTGACATCAGGGCTGCCTTCGATTTGTTGGACAGAACTGTTCTCTGGGATTGTCTATTGAAGAAGGGTGTGCCTGAGAAGTTTATTAACATCCTAAAAGCCCTGTATAAAAACACCTCAGGCAGAGTGAGGGCATACAACCACCTCTCTCCATTGTTCCATTCGAGCAGTGGGGTTAGGCAGGGTTGCCCAATCTCACCATTCCTCTTCAACTTTGCCATCGATAACATTCTGGAAACAGCTCTGATGAATGTAAGTAATGGTGGTGTGGATCTGTTGCCTGGAGAAAGACTTCTCGACCTTGAGTATGCGGACGATATTGTCTTACTGTGCGATAATGCCCAAGGCATGCAATCCGCACTTAATCAGTTGGCAATCAGTGTCCGTAGGTATGGTATGTGCTTTGCACCTTCGAAGTGCAAAGTACTTCTACAAGACTGGCAGGATTTTAATCCTGTACTCACCCTGGACGGTGAGCAGATAGACGTAGTTGAGAAGTTCGTGTATCTGGGTGGCTGTATAAGTGCTGGTGGGGGTGTGAGTGATGAGATCAATGCACGAATAGTGAAAGCCAGAGCGGCTTATGCCAATCTGGGCCATCTATGGCGCCTTTGTGATGTTAGTTTGGCTGTAAAAGGTCGGATCTACAACGCGTTGGTGAGAGCAGTTTTGCTCTATGCTTGTGAAACCTGGCCTCTCCGAGTTGAGGACGTTAGACGACTCTCTGTGTTCGATCATGGTTGTCTCTGAAGGATTGCTGATACTCAGTGGCAACATCATGTTAGTAATGCAGAGGTTCGGCATCGTGTGTTCGGGCACAGAGATGATAATTCAATTGGTGTCACCATCTTGAAACACCGACTTCGGTGGCTTGGACATGTCCTCCGAATGTCGTCCCAGAGAATTCCAGGTCGTGCATTATTTGCCGACTGTGGGACTGGTTGGAAAAAGCGGAGAGGTGGTCAGTGCATGACATGGTGTCGTGGTATGAAAGAAAGCTGCAAAGGACTGGCGTGTGTTGGTCCTTCACGACTCCCTGGTTGGGGTCTGAGAGATGGTGCTACACAGTGGCTAGAGACGTTATCAGATATGGCTCAGAATAGAAGCCAGTGGCGATCCTGCTGTAACCTTCTTTTACTTTCTTCATAAAAAGTGGTTCTGTCTCCCTTACCTGAAAGATTTCTTCCGATTGTGCCTTTGCGTTCCCTGATTACTAGCACATTACCTTACATCAATCTCTTCGTTATTGTTCTCTCTTTTTTTTGTTGCGCTCCTTAGCTTTATTTTCTTTCTTTGTATTCCTCTCGAATTTTCATTGTTTTGTGTGGCGCATATATATTGGCGCTCCCCTGTACCAATATTCATGTGTCCAAATAAATAAATAAATAAATAAATAAATAATCTATATGAGGAAAGTTTCATCTCTAAAAGCATGTCGATGGCGAAGTTGAACAAGAATGGAGAGAGTGGACAACACTGACTAACACCACTTGAGGTAATCAATTCTGATGGCAGTTCGCCATAAGCTCTCACTCTACCAGTTGTGTTCGAGTAGAGAGAGCTTTTATAAGGTAAATGTACTCCTTTCAGTGACAAGCACTGCCATAGAACCTCATGATCAGAGTCGAATGCCGCCTTAAGGTCGAGAAATACTACGATTGTGGGGCGTCTGAATGTGTGTCTGTGTTCTAGAACCTGACGTCTATATACCCAAGTCCAGGTCGGAAACCAGTCTGGTTTTCTCTGGTCTGCTCTTCACGAGCTTTAGTTAGGCGTCGAAGTATTATTGAGGCTAATAGTTTAAACACTATATTTGTCAAACTGATTTCTCTGTGATTGTCACAAAAGGACTTTTGTTCTTTCTTATAGACTGGCACAATCAGTGATTGAGACCAATCAGATGTGATTACGTCCAGTTCCCAAATTCTACCTAAGACCTCAGTTAATCTCACTGCTAATGCTGGACCACCATCCTTAAAAACCTCAGGAGTGAACCTGTCAGGGCTTGCTGCTCTCCCTCGCTTCAGATTTCCTATGGCTTTTTCAAATTCATAAAGAGTCGGAGGAACTACAATAACTTGCCATTCAGGTTGACTAGATGTCGTGGGAAACTGAGGTGTGTCTAAAGGCCAGTTGAACTGGTCCCTAAAGTGTTCTGCCCATCGATTCAGTCTCCTGGATTGAGAATGTATAATATGTCCATCTTTCTCTGAGAGTGTTTCGCTAACAGTCGGTTTCCTAATACCGGTTTCCTTAACGAGTCTGAACAATTGTCTGCTATTACCTATTGCCGCTGCCTTTTCCATCTCTCTTGCTTTCGCTACCCACCACTGTTCACGATCATTCCGTAGACTTCTTGTCTGCTTGCGCTTAAGCTGACTCCGCTCTTCATTATGTTCAGAGCGAGGTGGAATTAGTTTCCGAGCATCTATCAGTGCGATAGATGCTGCTGAGATTCAGTGTTGCTCCTTAACCTTACGGGTTACCGTACTAGCAGATATCATTACTGTTTCCACAGCTTTTCGGATATCAACCTATGCTGCCTCGGGGTGGGCATCACGTACATGGATGCCTAACTGTTTTCCTAGTTGTTCCTGAAATATACTCTTAGCTTGACTATCATTAAGTAGGGTCCTAAAAGGTTTACTTGCAGCGTCTTTCCTACGTCCAGTAAGACGCAGGCAAATACGCGCTCGTACTAGTGCATGATCTGAATCTAAGCATGTGCTCCAGAATGAGCGACAGTCTTCTATCGAGCCCCTCCATCGGTGGCTGATAGCGATGTGATTTAGTTCGGTCAAACGTTGGCATGAATTGGTGGGTTGCCGTGTCAAAACATGTTTTTCCTTATGCTTAAAGTTTGTTTTTGCAAGAAAGAGGCGGTTATCTGAGCATAGCTGCAACAGACGGTCGCCATTATCTGTTCTTTGAGCCGCGACACTATAAGATACACCCAGGTGTCTTTCCCTATCGCTTAGTTTACCTAATTGAGCAGTAAAGTCACCGGCCACTATTACTACATCCGAGCGCCTAGCTTTTCGGAGAAGGTCGGAGAGCTTCCTGTGAAACTCATCTTTGACATCATCTGAGCTGCAGTCAGTGGGAGAATAGGCAGAGACAACGAAGAGGCAACGACGAGTGTCCCTATCTTTTCGGATCCTTACTGTTCCGTTCAGTCGGACAGCGCACAAACGACTGTCTACTGGGATCCAGTCTAAGAGAGCTAGTTCTGCCCTAGGACTCAATACTATACCTACGCCGGCGAGGCCACAGGAAGCAGAATCAGGACTTCCAGATACACGAAGTGTGATTCGAGTTGGTTCTTTGTTTTGACATGGTGATGTCAAATGCATGATGCTACTCGGATCCTGTATGCGCGTTTCGGAGACGCAGCACACATCGATGGCGCGGGATTCTAGAGTCCTAGCTAAGGAAGCCTGTTGTCCTATTTGGCACAGTGTTTGGACGTTAAAAGCTCCTACGTGTAGTTTAGAGCGTGGTTTTAGGAGACCAGGAATAACGTTCCACGTACTCGAATCGTTCGCCCTAGCGGTGCGGGGTGATAAAGAGACGTGAGGAGGGTTAGTCATGGAGATAAGAGAGGTATTAGGAGGTGTAGGAAGGATTTGAATGTGACCAACTTGGTCTGGTGTGTTGTTACGGGTATGAGGGCTGATGTCACTTCCCGGCTGCCCACACCGTGGAAGGGTATTTCTTGAGGAACCTGAAAAGGAAATTGGATTAGTGTTGGTCTTGACGACCTGAGAGCGTGACCGCAGAGCCCAAGGGACAACTGCTTGAGGCCGGTCGCGCACGGCCTTTTCGTGGAAGGTTTTTGATTTGTTAGCTCCGTACTTTTTGGGACCTTACCGCCGGAGACGGATATCCGTGGGATGAGGCGGGGTGTGCATTTTTAGGGTCTACCTTTTCTAACCCCACCCCTCCTTGTGGGAAGGCAGCATCGCTGCAGATGCTGGTTGTTTGAAGGAAACACCTTAATGCTGTCACACCTCTGTACAGTCAGCAGTACGACTTCGCCTTCGGACCTTGGGTTTGTTGCTTTTAGTCTTACCGTTCTCCAATCGACCTGCCTAGCATGGTAGAACCTATAGAAACATATGTTCCAGCCAATATAGCTCGGTTGGGTCATCACGATAGGCAAGCCCGACCACCGCGTCAAGGTAGCAGCTTCGGTCGGGATTATGATTATTATTGTTACACTACCTTGCACTAATCTGTTCATTATTTTCCTTTTTTCTTTTTTTACGCTCGTTGCCTTTTTTTCCTTCTCTTCGAATTCTCATTATTTTTTGTGGCACAGATATATTTTTGTGCCCTCATGTACCAATATTTATGTCTTCAAATAAATAAATAAATCAGATACGGGGGGGGTGAGAAGTGAGAAACAACACTAAACTGAATATATAAAGGAATACACTGATCAGATACAATTGTCGTACTTCCACCATTTATGGGCCAGATCAGTACATGTTCTTAATTGCAACCTAGAGGTCTACAGAAATTTTGAAAATTAGTAACATGTTAATTTTTAAATGAATTTACATTTCATTGGTAGTCGTGTATACTGCTGTATTCATTCATTTTGGCTCGTGACATTCTTATCTTCGCCCTCACATTTCTCCTGCTTTATCGTACGACCGTAATCACTGCGTCTTCTGTGGAATTTCATCTTTCATTTTAACCAGATCTCTCCTATTAACGACTAGAAATTTAAAAACAGACTATAACATCGATGTTAGGTACTCTGTTCTTTTCTATGTACAATGAAGGTTTACAACTAGAATTTCATTGTATTTAACATCCCGTATTTCCAGGCTGACAATTCAGCAAACAGATAGTGCTGTTTCTAGTAGTCTGTAATTAGTGTATGTACACATTTTAACTCACTTATATTCTGATTAATTAGGTTGAAAATTCCCTTCGTTCTAGTTTATTTTAACTCAGATAAGTTTTTTAAAAAAGTACTCCTATCGCTTTTCTACTACTGACTCACTTCATTATATCTTTATAGCGATCTCATTCTTGTTCTTCTGTCATCATCAGCTTAGTTAAATGTTTTACAAACCTTATGTCTCCCAACTCTAAGGTCCTGTTCAAAGTTTGATCTCTGGTGGACTTGCAGGGATTGGATCCAAATGTGTAATATATCCACTTGATATGGTGAAAAAACGTATGCAAGTTCGGGTAAGGTTTTGTATTTAATTTTTGGTACCAATATTTCCAAATATTATTGTTGTTGTTGTTGCATTGATCCAATCTCACTTCGTAAAGTAAAGTTGTATTCATATAGTTTCATCCACCAAATGTATCTAGGTTATTTATAGAGCGAAAATAAACAAAGCTCATTTGAAAAGTTATAATTTGGTGTAACGGTAATGCGAAGCTTACATTTAGTTTCAATATGCACTTGATTATATCAAATATTCTTCATGAGGCAATTATTTTCGTAACGAAAAGTCATATTATTTACATTGCTCTAATCATTATAAGTAAAGGTTTGTTTGGTTATTCATGATAGCTTTTTAGTAATTTATCACGCTGTCGCTTACAAACGAAGGTTTAATAAATTCATCTATTTAGTTTTCTTGGCGTGCAATATTTCCATTATCATGTTTTATTCTACTGCACTGAATGTCCACTTTATACCATAAGAAAATATATCCGTTTAGATGTCGAAGGTTGAACTGTTTACACACCTCTGTAAGCACTTCATACTCCAACCTCTTCCATGTTGTCAGATTCACTAGAATAATTTCTGAACTCTTATAACACTCCGTTTCTCTGTCTACTCGAATGGAACGTTAATTTACCTTAGACGAATATCTACACTAGATAGCCTTCTAGTGTCTGTTTTACAAGACTTCAATACAATTCAGATCAATAACATGTGACTAGCCCGACGAGAAAGTAAGTTAATGTTTCTTTGATACCTTTCCAGTTGTCCTCCATAGTAGTTCTTTCTTCCTTCGGTAGATCTTGTAAGTCATGGAACCTGCTGTTAAGAGCTATCATGAATCCCGACCGTTGTTGCTACCTTGACGTGGTGGTCGGGTTCGCCTATCGTGATGGAGCAACCGAGCTATACTGGCTGGAACAACCGTTCCTCAAGGTCCTACCATGTCAGACAGGTCGGTTGAAGAGCGGTAAGACTAGAAGCAACAAACCCAAGGTCCGAAGGCGAAGTCGTACTGCTGACTGTACAGAGGTGTGACAGCATTAAGGTGTTTCCTTCAGACAACCAGCATAACAGCGATGCTGCCTTCCCACAAGGAGGGGTGGGGTTAGAAAGGGTCGACCCTAAAAATGCACACCTCGCCTTATCCCACGGATATCCGTCTCCGGCGGTAAGGTCCCAAAAAGTACGTAGCTAACACAAAAATTACCCATAAAGAGGTCGTATGTGACCGACCTCAAGCAGTTGTCCCTTGGGCACTGCGGTCACGCTCCCAGGTCACTAAGACCACCTCTAATCCAATTTCCTTTTAAGGTACCTCCAGAACAACCCTTCCACGGTGTGGACAATCGGGAAGTGATAACCGCCCTCATACCTCTAATAGTACTCAAGACCATTGTATTCATAATCAACCTCCGTCTTCACTTCCTATTATTCCTCCTACATCGACTTTCACCTCTAAACTTCCTTTTTCGGCTTCCCCCTCAAGTGTCACCATAGCCAACGATTCTAGTGCTCAAAACACTGTCCCAGTTCTACTGAAACCTCTCTCCAAACTACACATTGGAGCCTTCAACGTACGCACCGTATGTCAAATCGGTCAACAGTCTTCCTTGGCTAGAACCCTAGAATCTCGTATCATTGATGTATGCTGTGTCTCTGAAACACGCATACAGGATCCCAGTGTGGTCATTCACTTGAACTCACCTCGGCAAAACGGAGAAACAGCGAGATACACCCTCCGTGTATCTGGTGACGCGATGGCCAGCTCTCGTGGACTGGCAGGAGTAGGGATAGCACTAGGCATGAGGGCGGAACAAGCACTGTTAGAGTGGATCCCCGTTAACAGTCGTTTATGTGCTGTTGGGCTAAAAGGCTCCGTAAGAACTTGGAAGGATATGGACACACGTCGTTAAACCAAACAGAAAGGCATTTAGGTGGGTATTTTAGTATTCCGACACAGCGAACAGATAATGGTGATTGTCTGCTGCAACTGTGCTCAGACAATCGTTTATTTTTAGCAAACACAAATTTTAAGCATAAGGAGAGATATCGTCTAACATGGCGACCCCCTACACCAAACCAACGATGGACTCAAATAGACCATATTGCCATCAGTCATTGTTGGAGAGGGTCGGTAGAAGATTGTTGCTCATTCTGGAGTACCTGATTGGACTCCGACCACGCCCTAATACGGGCACGCATCTGCTTGCGCCTCACTGGACGCAAAAAAGCCACAGTAAAAAGACCCATCAGAACTGAATTGTGTGGCGAGAAAACCAAAAGTAGTTTCCAGGAACAACTGAGATCACAATTAGGTAGTTCTGAAAATGAGGTTGACCCAGATGTTGCTTGGAAAGCTATACCAACAGCTGTGGAAACAGCAGTGACATCCATCAGTGATTTAAGCCACAGGGTTACAAAGAACCAATGAATTTCCTTTAGGTCTATTGCACTGATTGATTCTCGTAAACTCATCCCATCAGGCTCTGAACCCAATGAAGAGCGACAACAAATCAGATCTAGGTTAAGCAAAAGTCTAAGGAACGACCGTGAGCAGTGGTGGGCAACGAAAGCAAAAGAGATGGAAAAGGCGGCAGCTATAGGGAACACAAGACAGTTTTACAGACTAATAAAAGAAACTGGAATTAATAAGTCAAGTGTAAGTGGCTGCATCGACCACATATTCACCATTCGTCAGGTTCTAGAGCATATAGGCATACTTATCGACGTCCGACAATGGTGGTCTTTCTTGACTTAAAAGCAGCATTTGACTCGGTAGACCGCGAGATTCTGTGGCAGTGTCTGTCATTGAAAGGCGTACCTCAGATGTACATAAACCTTGTGAAGGCTCTTTACTCGAACACTACCAGTCGAGTGAGAGCTTATGGCGAACTGTCATCTGCTTTTGCAACCTCAAGTGATGTCCGTCAATGCTGTCCACTTTCTCCATTTTTGTTTAACTTCATCATAGACCTATTGATGGAAATAACTTTCTCGTCGACTGAGTTCTCGGGTATTGATCTCCATCCAGGAGGTCCACTTATCGACTTAGAATACGCAGATGACATAGTCCTGTTTGGTGAAGACGCTGATAGAATTCAGAGTCTTTTAGTAGCACTAAGCAACAATGCCAGAATGTTTGGGATGCGCTTCTCTCCCTCTAGATGCAAGTTGTTGCTTCAGGACTGGTCTGCGTCAACACCCGAACTAAGGATAGGGAGTGAAGTAGTCGAACGCGTCGACAACTTCACTTATCTTGGAAGTCTGATCAGCCCTAATGGGTTGGTGTCTGACGAAATCTCAGCACGGATTCGAAAAGCTCGCTTGGTTTTTTGCCAACTTACGTCACCTATGGTGAAGGCGAGATATCCGTCTATCAATAAAAGGACGAGTATACTACTCGGCAGTCTGTTCTGTTCTACTTTACGGCAGCGAAACATGGCCATTAAGAGTAGAAGACACTCGTAAGTTACTAGTATTTGACCACAGATGCCTCAGAAATATTGCTGGCGTCTGCTGGGATCAGAGGGTAAGTAATAGTGAGGTTAGACGCAGAGTATTAGGGAAGGATGGTAAATCAGTCGATGAGGTTGTTAATCTTCATCGACTGAGATGGTTGGGTCACGTGTTACGTATGCCTGAATACCGATTACCATGACGTGCAATGCTAACCGGTGTTGGGGATGGTTGGAAGAAAGTTAGGGGCGGCCAAACCAAAACGTGGCATCAGTGCCTGAAGTCACTAACTTCTAGTCTGAGCCATGTTGGTAGATGCAAACAACTTGGTTGGTGTCCGCGTGACTATCGTAACCAATGGTTGGAGACTCTTGGTGACATGGTTCAGAATTGATGACAGTGGCGTAGGTGTTTACAGTCTGTCTTTCCTTAAACTAAGAGATTGAAAGCACTTCATATCTTTCTTTCTACGAACTAATTCTTTCTTCCTGTACTATATCCTTATTGCAGTCTGTCTTTTACATATTACCACTTCTGAATTAACTACTTGTATGAATCCGGTGTCCATCTTGTTGTGTTAATGAGGTATGGCAACCTGGACCGATGCACATATGTGCCTGGTCCTACGTTGTAGCTGACTGACTGCTATCATGAATTCGTTGAATTTGTTAGTATCTCGAAGGAAAGCTGAATTGAACCTTTCTAGTGTTGTTTGTCCAGTTGTTCAGTTCTTCCTTAGCTACATTTGTAAATAGGCTACAACTAGGTAGTGATCTGAATCATTAGGGCAACTCCCTGAGTGTGTGGAGCATTTTCCTCTTCGTGACCGGAGTACAGCATCATCTCTCCCGTATTTAGCCTTTGTTGTCCAGCTTGGGTCCAAAGGGTTTCGCCGATTCCGAGTACTGCCACATTGTATCTCCTGATTTCCGTTGCTATTTGACTGGTCTTCCTGGTCTCCCACATTGTACGTTCCATTTACTTATGAAAATTGTTGCTCTAGTTGTCAGAAGGAGCATCGGCCTCGTGAATTCTGAAGGAACTCGGCTTTCACCATGAGACATCATAGTTCTTCTAAATGAAGACCTAACTCACGGGTCAGAGTTTAAATGGTTTGAATTATTTTTTCTGGCTAGAGATTTTTTACCGAGTTAGTCTTCAACGGGATGTGGTCGCTAACCCCATGCCCAATACTCCTTTTTTATCCGGGCTTGGGATCGGGAGTAACTCTAGAAGAGCTACAGAGGGAATTAAAGGCGTATGTAAGTTATTTAATTTGTTGGTTGTTTTTTTAATATGGCTACCAAACTGTTATTTTAAGTTTAAAGTACCATTTGTTTATTTTAATTGTCCGTAGGGTTTTGAAGAAGCGCGTGCTCAATTCGGTCGAATTCCTATCAGAAATGATGGTCTTTGTAGGTGCTTACTTGAAATATGGCAAATGGAAGGAGCTTCAGCATTTTTTAAAGGATTAAGACCCACTTTACTCAAGTCTTTTGTTTCTATCTCGTGTCGATTTACTGTGTATGAACAAATTTGCAGATTTCTACTTTATCAAAAGCACTCATAAAATCCTAATCATAATGTACCGTGATATTTATCCCTGGAGCTCAATCCAAGTTTTGTCAATAAACTTTTCAGCGTTGTATATTTTTAGTCTATTTTTACCAGACAAAACTGTTAATTAGTCTAATTAGGGTTGAATTTTTCGCATTGAATCTATCCTCGACTTGTTCTTCCTTCAAAGCCAGTTATTTTCATATTGTCTTCTCCACATTCTCTATATCTTTAATATGACTGTCATCATAGTGTTATATTTTCTGCTATCCAGTTGATCGACTTGTCGTTATATCATCTATCTTACTCTATTCTTAATTTATGTCTGTCTTTTTTCTCCTTTTTCATTATTGTCATGGTCTTTTATGTAGATGTATACTTTTCCTCTTTTAACTCGAACACTTCTGTCGGCCAAAAATGAGATAAAAATTTCTTGTAGTTGAACAAATAAGAGATAAAGTTGGAGATGTTTGCTTATTAATGATCATTGTATGAAAAACTTCTAAAAATTTCTGCTTTTGCTTATCCTGCAGCTTCACAGAGAAATAGGTTGCCTACCAGTTATCCAATTGACTGCGTCCTGGGCTGTTCCTTCCAGTTGTCACCATGTGATAATCATGACTTCGAGTTCAGTCTCCAAATCTCGACGCCATATTCTCTTTGTTCTGTTTCTCTTGCTTTTGACTTGGGGGACTCTAAGTTTTGTTGTCCTTTGTGATGCAGCTTGGTGATTTTCGCAATATGTATACACTTTCATTGTTTTTTCTTAATTTCCTGCTCTCTGCTACAGTTGGTTATTACTAACGGTCTCCGGCAATTATCTCTGAAGTATCTTGCGTAGACAACTATTTATAAATACCTGTACATTGTTGAAGGAAATTGCGGTATTTCTCCACGTTTCAATCTCGTGTAACAGAACTCTTGACGCTTGTGTTGCGAATTCTGACAGTTTTGTTGAGTTCCAGATATTTTTATACTGTAGGAATATCACTCTTGCTTTACCAATTTGTGCCTTCATATCCACATTATGTCTTCCTTTTTTATTTAGGATACTGTCCAGGTGAGTAAAGGCTTTTACCTCTTCCAGAGCCTCTCTGTCAAGTGAAATTCGGTTGATGTTCACTGTGTTTTACTTCAGGATCCTATTTCTGCTCGTGTTAATCTTAATACCTGTTTTTCCAAAGAGCACTGCTACACTGGCTATTTCTGTCTGCATTTGTGCCTTTGAAGTTCGGATCGTCCAGGGTGTCCACGGTATTCCGTACTTCCTCTGCGACGTGGATGTCTTCATAGCCTAACCAACGACTAAAAGAATGAGGAGGTAAGATTAGGCAGTATTGTCTGACACCAATCTTCATTTAAACGTGAGGTGCACTGTTGCAACACTTTTGCTATTCAGTATCCATAAGAGCTCTGTATGATAACGAAATTTTTCTGAGGTACTCCGTTGTGCCGGAGATTTTACCAGCTTCTCCTTTCCACGTTATCAACTACTTTTTTCATATTTAAAAGAATCCGTGTATGGTAATGAGTTCCATTCCGTTAATTGCTTATTCTATTTTTCTGTTGTGTGATTTGGTAAAACCCATATAGCTTTGTGAGAAAAGTGCCACTGTCCGTCACAGTCTTGTTGGAAGCACATAGACCTACCAGTTTCACCACGGTCATTTCTTTCCTCCACCCTGTGTCTCCTATTGCGATGGTCTAGTGCCTCATTGTGTTTCTCTAGTATGGACTAAAGCTTCATGAAACTGATCTTTATCATTTTCGTTACCAACATTAGTGAGTGCGATGTACTGTATGACACTCGTAATCGTTTTGTAGTATGAAGTTGTAGGGTGTTAATCCAATAATCACTTCCCATTCTTGTTTGTACAGCGCCAGTGCAACTCCTTGTGTGTGGGAGGGAGGATTTTCTTCGTGATCGGAACATAATAACAGTCCTCCTGTTTTTCCATGTAGTGAATTTCACTTATTTCTATCACAAACATGTATCATCCTATCTCTGTCGATATCCCAGTGATTTTACCAGTCTCACATTGTCTGAGCACTCCAAATCTTCATGTTTATTGTTGTTCTGATTGTTATAAAGGGTGCCGACCTCATGGGTTATTGGGTATCTCAGCTTTTATTACTAGGGGTCATAACTGTCCCATGTGAAGACCCTTCAACTCTCTGGGGAGAGTTGAAATGGTTTGATCATTCCACTATGGTTAGCGATTTTTAGTGAATTTATTTAGTACGACGTATGGTTGCTCATTCTTTATCCAATCTAGAGTCCGGTAGTAACCTTAAAAAGTTTTCAGTTAAGACTCTTCAAAATTATAATATTTGTGTTATTGATTCTTAAATATACGGAATTTTTCATGGAAAAATATCTACTGGTATGAATTACTATATTCAGCTAGAGTTATCTTTCAACTTAGTCGTCAGTACGACAATGAGTGACAACTGACCCATTGTCTTATGTCTGGAGGTCGTCGCTTTCAATATACTTGTTGAGTCTGCGGTTTCACCACTAATACTTGGACTTTCGGAACTGCCATCACGACGAAAAGTAAGGACATTCAAGACCAATCCAATAAATATTAATTGGCCGTACAATAGAAAGGAAATTATTAGAGTTCGTACATAAGTGATTTCCATATGGAATTTGATTAGTTGTTTCCCATATTTGCGTTGTGACCGCACATCTTTTTCCTGACTCAATCTCTGCTGTTATAGCTTCATGCCATTTATCCTCCCTCAATTTCGTAATGCTGTAACTAGCTTAGAAATTTTAGTTTTAGAATCTAAATGAAAGAACGAAATACAATATCGGTTGGAATGATTTACGGTATGGTGCTATTCGTATAATGGTGAAAGGAATGGTTAGTCCTAATCCTGATATAGTCCTGAAACATTCCCCAGTTTGGGTATATTGTAGGAATGCTGCCATCGCTTTGTAAATCCTCCCCCTTTACATCCGCATCTGATCCTCCATGTTCGTCGAGTATGCTGTCCAGGTACGTGAACGTTTCCAGCTATAGGAAGGTCTCTGTGTATGTTGCATCGATATCTGGTACGCTCACTGGGCTAATATATCCAAGAGTTTCTCTGTTGTTGAATCTCAGCGTGTGATTAGCCTTCCTTACTCTCGATCAGTCTATCTGGTTTCCTATACTTCCCTGCTAGTTTCTTCGTCGTGTTATGTAGTTCTCTAATATTTTCTCTTCACGCCTTTTCCTCTGTATCCCACATATTTCTGCTTGTCAGCTCTAATATTCTTCCTCACTTGCCTCCAAATTCCCTAATACGGCATGAGTGGAGAAATTCAGCTCTCGAAACATCCTCACATGGCTACGCGTTAACAGTCACGACCTCGCGGCGGGGATGTTGTTTACGAAATTTTGAGAACGAAAAGCGAATGGCCGGCGAGTTAACCGAGTTGGTGGATACGGAGGATCCACGGGGATTTGAAACAAGAATCCGCCTCGTGTAATCGTTTTTCTACCATCCCTTTGGATTTTATTGACGTCTTTTACATTTCCTGACAGTTCTCCAAACTAACAATAATTTTCCATCCGACGTTCAATATCTGGTTCTTATTCCCTGTTAACTTGATAGGTATCCCTTCACCGTACCTGGAAGCTGAAAGTGACCGTACAATGCTCGTTAGTAGGTTTATTTGTCTTTCTGGGTGGCAACGTACTGTTAAAGACTGTCCGACCTTCGCTTCCAAACATACACTCATCTGGGGACTTTCCCTTGGTCACTGCCTGGTGGGATGTAACTCTGTAAAATATTGAGAAGTTACTGGTCACATATGCTGGACCTCCTCTAATTTGATCCCTTTTCGTTGTGTCCACGAACCTTTCTTGTTCATTCGACTGATGATGGTACGCAGAAGATCGTAGATGCGTAATGCCATTTTCATAGCAGAACCGTTTAAAGGCGGATCACATGAACTAAGATCTCCGGCGCCCGAAAACAATCTTGACAATTTTCTTGTTGTATCCTTCGTTGTCATGTTCGCACACTTCCAGCCACTTCCTGAAGGTATCTAAAACAACCAATTAGTTTCTGTCTTGTATTGGACCAGCGAAATGAGCATGTATTCTTTGTCAAAGCCTGTCTAAATTCGGTCTTGTTTGGGGTCCTGCTTCAGTTGGATTCTTTGCAGATTCTAGACAGGACCAACTGCTGCGACACTTTTGTTCTATTTCACAGTTCATTGACGGTCATTATGTGTAGCCCCGAGCCAGTGACTTCATTTTACTTACTACCGGGTGCCCGGTATATAAATGTTTTTGGTACTGATGCCCAGAAATTCTGGTGATAACGATCCGGTGGCCAAACATGATGCACGGAACTACATTTGTCAAGGAGTCTCTCCGACAAAAGTATTGTACAATCTCTTCATGGAGTTGAGGTGAAAACCACTTGCTGAGTATACGAACGCTCTTCAACGTATCGTCCTTTTCGCTAGTTTCTTTAATGGTCTCGTATGTGACTGGCTGTCCTGAATTTTAGTCTGTCAACACTGCGAGCTTTGGTCACAGTTTCTACGGCAGCTACAAACAGCTCTTCTTGTTTTGTCTGGAAACCAGTTAATCTTGAGTGGGCATCTGCCTGTCCGAAGTCAGTCGTCGGTTGACAATTTATCTTGAAATCTCCGTCCAGTAATGTGGTTACCCATTGTTGTAGATGGTTTTCCACAAAAACAGGGACACTTTTTGGGCCCCAAAACTCAGTATCGGTTTACAGTCTGTTAGTAACGTAAACTATCTGCCGAATAGCATCTTGCGAAGATTTTTCACAGCGTAGATAATGACTTTAGTTCCTTTCGATCACATTCAACAAACCGAACATGTTGCCCGAAATGCATCAGATATAGTGAGGCTAACAGGAGAGATCATGTGAGATGTTCAATTCAAAGAACATAAATTACATAACATCTGATTTCCGCATGCAAATAAAGCACTACTGTATATTGAAATAAAAATGCATATAATGTCATCATCTATAAGAGAAAAGAATATAAATTCGAATAAAGCTTTACGCTCCATTCTAATTTATTGATGGGAAAAATTGTACAAAACAAAATTAAGTCACGTAGATATCATGCTAAAGTATTATTAAATATGTTGAGAGATATAACATGTACAGAACTAAATTTAAATATCTAAATCATCATTATTATCTTCAACACTCGAATGGCTCCGTTTTTGTGTTTCAATTTCTGTTGGAGTATTCATACTACGAACTTCCAGTAGAATTGGCGGAGTAGATTTCTATAATATAAAAGGAAAACAAAAATAGATGTTTACTACGTCTTAACGATTTATCTGTAGAACTGAACAAAACATTGCTAAAACAAGGCAGTAATGAATATAAAATAACAAGTCTCAAATCAATGTTAGATCGTCGGTTGCATTGGTGTTAGAACGAGATTTCGAGACCAAGTTCTGAGTGTGATTTCTTTGTTAGATCTATACAGCTTTCATAACTGA